CCTCACACCCCCAATGCACCCCCCATGTATCCCTGATGCATATGCACACACCCTATACACCCCCCAACAGCACACTCCCCACATACCCTCAACGCACACCCCACAACGTGCACGCACACCATACACCCCCACAATGCACACAGTCCATCGCACACACCCTATATACCTTCAATGTGCACACACACCATACCCCCCTCCCCAAATGCGCACAGCCCCCATGTACCCACCCCCAACAAAGCCAAGGCCGGGGCTGGGCGCGGGGTCGGGCAGGGCCCTGCCCCAGGCCGGCCCTCACCTGGCAGCCCTTCTTGTGGTGGAAGCCGACCACGACGATGTGCAGCACCGGCCCCCGCGGGCCGCCCCCCGGTGGCGAGCAGCGCCCCGGCTTCTCCATAGGCCGGCGGCGGCGGTGGTTGCTTCCGCCCCGGGCTCCACCGCTGCCCGGGGCTGACGGAGAAGAAGCCCGGAGCCGGGCCCGGCACCCAGCCCGCCGCTGCCTCCCTCCGTGCCGGCCGCTTCCGCAGCGCCCAGGGGCGGGGACACGGAGGCACCTCCCCTTCAAGTGCCGCCGCGCCCGGTGAGGGCCTCACCACCCCTCAGCCACCTGCCTGGGGGAGGGAGGCCGCGAGGCCTGCGGCTCCTGCCGCCTCTGGCCAGCCCCGAGGCCGCCCCGGAGGCCTGGTGTGGTATCATCCCCGACAGCGGCCGGGGTAGGGCCCCCACCTGTCCTGGGGGGGCAGGGAGCAGGGGAAGCTCTCCTCCACTTCCCCTTTGTGCCAGGCTCCTTGTGGGGCATTAAATCAGGGGCTCTCAAGCTTCTTAAGCTCCCAATGCCTCTGGATGGACTCGAGGTGCCCCTGGGAAAATTCCAGCCCTGCCTCTAGGGGTGTTGATCTAAGGGCTGAGGTAGACCGAGGTCTTTGGGTAAATGCGACCTCTTTTATTAGACCATCTAACGTTGGTGACACATAGTGGGTGCACACAGGTGCGCCCCCTGAGATTGGCAGCGTACCCCTGCGAGAACCGCTGCCAGTGGCGTCTGCGGGTGGTCCCTGATTGCCACTGCCGATGCTACTGGCAATGTCTGTGGGTATCGCCACCCTGCCACCAACACTGTTGTGGCTGCCTGCAGGGGCTCCCTGCTCACTGCCAGCACACCGCTGCCGCTGTGTGCCCCCACCCCAGGCTTCCGGGGGCACGTGGCGTTCATGTCAACTAAGTTAGAAAAATTGTTCTTTACAAGCTTTCAGACAGAAACACCCTTCTTTCAGCAAAGGGAGAGTGTTGGTGTTTTGTGCTCTCCCGGATGGAGTGGAAGCCACTGTGCAAAATTCAGGTCTGTAAAAATGCAAATCGTGGCAGTGAGGATCAGAGGCCATGGGAGACAGTGCTCTGCCTTTTTTTTCCTTTTGGCCTACATGCAAATGTTAGAGCCGTTCTTCTGTTGCAGAGAACTCAGACCGCAGCAGGGCAGACGGGCTTTAACGCTAGAGGTTCCCATCTGAAAGCTTTGGGTTTACTTCCTGAATCATGTCTGTGCTCCTTGCTGTGTGGCAGGCTTGAAAGAACCTCTAGACACCCTAGGGTGCTGTGGCCCTGGTAAAGAACTGCTGCATTAAGTTTTCAAAGAGACGCAAGGATTTCCAAGGGGGTGTGGGGAATAATCTCTTTTCCTGGGCCAACTGCATGGTTGGGATAAAGCTAGACAAGCTTTTGAATGTAGGCCTTCTTCATCAGGTTGCAAATGTGAAGTCTTCTGAAAAAGTTGTAATTAGATTCTGCCGGCTGAGAGACGACGACGACAATTTTTGAATCTGGTTTTATGCTCCACTGGCCAGGCCCTGAAAGCAAAGCTTCCTGAAGGCTGATAAGATTAGTGGCAAACTTCATTATTAAAACATGTGTATTGACTTTTTCCATTTTCAAAGTGTTGCTGTACAAGCAATGTCTAATTTGGGCTTCTTCCTAGAATCTCCTCAGTTGTATAGTCTTTATGTGAGTTACAGCAGATGCAACGAGTCTGCTTGCTTGAGATGCATCTATCAAGTAAGAAGTTAGCAAGATCAAGTCTATAATTCTTGCGCTAGACCACTGAATCTGAGGGGGCTGCAGCACATTGGGGTACCTTGAGATCCTTTCAGGGGGCCATGCAATGTTAACATGTTTAGGTGTGAAAATGTGATTTGCAAGATAAATCTAGAGACTTCAAACAGGCATCCATAGTGTCAAAAGTATTCTGACCTGACCTGTGGTCTTTCTGTATTTTTTTGCAACAGGAGAATTGTTTTCATGACCAATGTGTGCACCTGGCAGCTAGGGGGGCATGACAGCGGCAGTAAGCTCCCAAAGACGCTGCTGGCACTGGTGGGTGGGGGGGTGACAACCACCTGCAGATGCCACTGGCAGTGTCGGCAGCGAACAGCAGTGTCAGTGTCTGTGGTGGTGGTGGGGGAGGGGGTGGTGAGTGGTGACCACCTGCGGGTGCTGCTGACACTGTTAGTGGCACCTTTTCGTAGGGTATGCACCTCCTACGCATTGCCAATGATTGTTTTGTTACTTTTCTGTAGTCAAAAAATGAGTGAAAATGAAGAGCTGGTATCTTCCAAGGGGTGCCTTGAGTCTGCAATGGTTGAGAATCACTGCGCTATACCTCTAAGATGAATAAGTATATAGTATTATCCTTGTATTTCAGATAGCGGATCTGAGGCAGAGTGGTTAAATGGCTTATTGAAGGCCACAGAGAGAGTGTGTCAGAGAAAGAATTAAAATGTTGGCAATCTAGGCTCCTCTTGCTAAGCTCAGACAAACTGGTCTCTCCCCGGGTTAAATCCTGTTCCTACTGAAGTCAATAGCAAAACTCTTCAAAAATACAGCTGTGCAAGACCAGGCCCTTGGTTACTGAGGGATTCTGCTGACATCGGATGAAAGGGTTCTTTCTAAAAGTAAAGAAAAGGATAAATGCTCCAGGAAAATCTCAGCATTAATGCAATACATGTAGACTCCAACTATAACAACAGATTAAAGCCTGCAATTACATAATATTCATCAGCTTCAACAAAAGTTCCATTACATAAGAAATATATTTTAGGGAACAAAAGACATGCTGTAAGGAACTATTGCACACCGGCAGGTGAATGATTACTTATTAGGTCTTTTCAGTCACAGTTCTCTATAATGCTTAGCATAAAGCCAGGAAAGAAAAAAATATTATGAAATACTGCCATTATCTCCTCCAGTAATGTGCTACAACCAAAAAGAAGGGCTAAAAACTCTACTTTTCATATTCAGTTCAGCAAAGAAGAGGTATAGTCTGAGACTGTTCTCACTAGTTTGCAGGTTGTCATAAGGAATCATCTAAGTGAGGTTCCTGGGTAAATCTAATTATTGTTTATGAGACAGGCTTTTCTTCATTGTTTGAAATTCTCCTTCCTGCTAGCTGAGGCAATAAAAAGGACAACATGTTGTAGAGCAAGATGTTGGCTTGTGTAATAAAACAGGAAGCCTGCTGTTGTATTTTAAAGCAAATTGTTACCATACTCTGTGACTTTTCCATGGTTCACCCTACGTAGCTATGGGCACTGGTGGATGAGGAACAGAGGTCTGGAGGCTGTCACACACTCAGGTAGAATAGTGTCAAGCACGGACAAACTGCTCTTTGTGAAATTTTTGACTCCCTCTGCGCATATCTAAATAACAAAGCACAAATTAGCAATATATAGTTCTCCTACCTGCATTGTAATATATTACAGAAAAACTGCCAGCAAGTGCAGCATTGGGAAAGTAATAATGACAAGCAAGATCAGCTGACTTGGTTTTACTTGCAGTGAGACTTCTTGAAATGGATATGCTTTACATTAATATGATTAGAAACACATTTCCATGTGCAATGTGACGTTCTTTTTGTTGAAGTCTCAAACATCCATTTTTGAGATAAAGCCTTAATACACCAGTGACTATCTGCAGCTTTTCTGTTGGAAAGGGGCATTTGACTATGCTTTTGTATTTATCCTGATTATCTCATGGCAGTGTTATCAATTTACTGTGTAGATATTTATATTTGGGTCTTCCTCAGACAAATTGTGTGGATGTTACAGGAGAAGCGTGACAAGGTGACTTGTCAGGTTTAGCCCACTTTCCCAAGTGAAGGAAATAAAAGCACAAATGTCACATGATGAGCATGTAACTGAAATCCAGGTTTGCTGGGATTTGTGAGCAGCTTGTGATGAGACAGAAGAACTGGTAGAAGACTCAGGGAGTGTGAACTTAAGAATTAATGCTAGATGAAGAATGGGAAGTAAGGCTTAGTCAATCACCGCTGCTGGGGGATACCCAAAGCCTGCAGTTAGACAATATAAATGCTAATGAGTGGCGCTGAGCTTTTTTGAGTGCAGACCTGCTTCAGCCCTATTTTGCTGTTTTATATTGCCTAATTGCAGGTATTAAATGTGACCCACTGGGAACAAGTGGGCACAGCTAACTTCCCCAGGAACAGATGTGGGGTCAGGAGAGCCATGGAGACTATAGTCTATGTTGGTCATGGGAGTTGCTTTGTTTTGATACTATTTATGAGGCTTGTGCTGGAACAATAAATTGTGCTCCGAGGTAAATAAAGTCTTGAAGTTTTTTACTAGCTCCTTTTAGGGTTGGTAAGAAAGCCACTGGCCTAGGAACCTAAATGGGAGATGAGAAGAGTTAGCAAGTTTTACATGATAAATGTTTCACAGAATTTTGGAAAATCACAACTTGTTTTATCAAGCATAAGATCTCCATTTGGATATTTGAAGGTTTAAGTCTTTATCATTTTCCTTCATAGTCGAAAGAGCCCTCATTTCATCTCATGAGTGAGGTAATGGGTTTTCCTATTCAAGAATAGGAATGTAATGTTGGGAATATTGCCTTTGTAGGCCTTCTTTGTCTATCAAATTATAAATCCCCTGTTCTAAAGACACTAATGAAGTGATTCTCAGCCATGGTACCATGAAGTCCTTTCAAGGGTGCTGTGGAGTGCAACACAATGTTAGCACTGGTAGGTGTGCAAACACATATTCATGCTTTACAAGATAAAACCCAGATAGGAATCCATTGTGTCATAAACATTCTGACCTGTTGTAGTCTTTGAGTTTTTTGCTACAGAAGAACTTCTCTTTAATTTTTCTGTAGTCAAAAAAAGAAGTGAAAGCTAAGAGCTGACATTTTTCAAGTAGTGCCTTGAGTCTAAAAAGGCTGAAAACCACTGCATTGATGTATATTTCCAAAGGCTGCAGTAGCTCTAAGTGATTGCCAACATCATCATTTGAGTGAACATCACATAAGAGAGCATCACCTACATAGGATATGCTTTAAACTGAATTAAGCAATGTAGGAACAAGCTGGTACATAATCTTTTTTAAGGCTAATAATCCAAAATGTGAGCACACAACTGAAAAGTGATCCATAATGACTTGTATATCTTTCTAGGAATGAATAACCAAGGCAGTCAGTCACCAACAAACA